TCTCTCTCTCTCTCTCTCTCTCTCTCTCTCTCTCTCTCTCTCTCTCTCTCTCTCTTTCTCTCTCTGTCTCTGTCTCTCCCCCCACCCCACTGCTTCCTGCTGTGTGGTATTGGCAATTTTTTCATCTACTGGCTCAAATTCTTTGTCTTTAGATGTGAATTTCTCACAGTATAAGTAGATTCAATTCTACTGTAGTCTCACAAATGGAGGAAGGTAGACTCTAATTTCTCTGGATCTTCAGGCCCCAGACCCAGGGAGGACAGCACAGCAACTCGCTCCTCCCCTTTACTCCTCTTGGCTCCCTTTGTAGTGTTTCTACAACCAGAAGTCAGTTAGCACTGCTGTAACATGAACTTGAATATGTGTGCACCAAGCTCTGTTTTCTTTTCCTTGATGGCTGATAGTTATAGTTGCTTATAGCAAATGCTTGTTCCCCATTGTAAGTTTCTCCCCTTTTTGGAGTGTTCTGCTTGCATTTCCATGCATTAATTTAATGAGATTCCTGTTAGTTTTCCAATTTGTCAAGTTTTCTTCTAATTAAAAGCTTATGAATAATGCCTGCCAATTTTGTGACTATGTCACCCTATTTCATCATTAAAGTCATTGGTGGAAATTAAGATGCACAAATAAGTAATATAAAGCTTCCTAAAACATGTTCCTCATGTTCCTCCATTACAAATAAAACATTTCATGTTTCCCACAATGCCTCTCCACGTGCTTCAACACAACTGTGTAAAGATCCACTGGAGAAGGAAAGAAAGAGCTGGTGTTTGTCCAGGAAGGTGGGAAGAAGGTGGGTGGTGAAATTACTGAGGTAAATAGGCCAGACTCTCACAAAGGGAAGTGCTGGTACCTGTATGCAACCGATATGAGGACATCTGGCAGGTCACCATCCTGGGTGTGTACTTGTGGAGAGACGCCTCGATGTCACAAACACCAGGACAGTGACTGGTACAGGGGTGATCAGTGGAAGGAAGACTCGGGACCCAATTCTAAACCACTCTGGCTTTCATGGCAGGAGCACAGCATGAGAAGCCAACAGAAACTTGAGTAGGGGCCACCATACAAGCAAGAGAGTGTGTACCGGGCAAAGTACATTCAGCATTGATTCACTCAGCAGAAAATGTAGAGACATTCGTTTAGGCCCTGAGAATTCAACAGGGATAAGGAAGACATCTCTGCTTGCTTATTTTTGAGCTCTGGAGGAAAACATACTAAATGCATAATTTTCCCATTTACTTAAGTGCTGTTTAGATCCATACTTTTAGAAAGGCACAGTGCTTGCTTGAGAGGCGAGGCAGGACGCTGGCCCCAGCTGAGGTGCCTCGGCAAGGGCTTGCCGAGCAAGTGAGGATGCACTTGACCTCTGAAGGCCCAGCAGGCGCGGACCAGGAAAGAAAGAGGGAGGTCACTGTAAGCAGTCGAAACTGTGTGTGGAAGGCAAAAGGAGGCATTTTAAGGAGGGAAGCCTCAGAAGGTCCAGAAACTGGGAATTGACAGGGAAGAACACGGTAGAACGTGCAGGCTAATGAGTATTTTCTTGCTTTAGTGGACAATGGGATGTCATTCCAAGCAGCAGAATAATGTGACCTCATTCTGGCTTTCAATGGTTGCTGTGACCATCATGGATGATGCTCCTTCCTGCAGAACCAGGACTCTGCCACCCGCTGTGTGCATCACGACATCCCGCACAATCCTGGGAGTGCCGTGTTGAACAGAGGCCTCGCATGGCAGCAAGCAAGACAGCAGCTGCTGGCCTGGCCTGATGCTCACACCGCTCCTACCACTTCCCTTGCTTTCCATCAACTTCACACTTCCTTAGCTATTTTCCATTTCCTTCAGCCAATACCAGTGGGAGAGAGCCATTTGCAGCACTATCCTTATGACCTACAGTCTTTACTAAAGAATATTCACTTTTTCTGCTTATTTTCTGCATAAAAATGCATTGTCACTAATCAATTTTCTTTCCCTTATTCAACAATTATTCATTAAACAACTAGTACATTCAAGGTATTGTACTTGGCTTTAAAAGGAATTAACATAACCAGCAAAACTCATGTCGATACAAAGTAATAATTACGTTTTATGAAAAGTCTGTACTCTGTTTATGTTTTGAGAAACTTTCAAAATATTTTCCCTTAAGAACTAAATCACAAATGACAGTTCTAAAGCCAGTCTATAAAATCTTACACAACTTGAAGATTGTGACAAAAAAAAATCAGCTCAAGCTCTGTGTGTATGTGTGTGTGTGTGTGTCCATGTGGGCGCACACGCGTGTGTGTTGCTGGTAAGAAGAGCATAGAATATACAATTTCTCCCTGGAATTTCCAATTAAGATATTGAAAGAGATGAGATATGTCTCATTCTGTTTCCTTTCTATACTCTGACACAGCGGCATGTTCTCATTAGACCCTAGATAGCCAGCCTTTCCTCTACCCTGACTTCAGATGGCCATTCTTCTCTACTGAACTTAGAACCAGCCCGTGCCCCTGGGTGTCCTGTCCTTGGTAGGAGTGTCTATGTTCCTTGATGGAAAAATCCAATCAGTGGTAGGATATAGATGGATTTAGAAAAAAGAAAGCAAAAAAAAAAAAAAAAAAAATAATAATAATAATAATAATAAAAGAAAGAAAACAAAGCAAACAATTTATAGCTTTCAGGGAAGACAGATATTAACCAACTACCTAATTACAATTAAGATAAATATAAGAAGTTTAGGTGCTGGACAGCATATAAAACAGGGACCAGTCAAGCTCGAAGTGTAGGAGGGAAGTTTCACTGAGAAAATGGCACTCAGGTGGCATTTAGGGTGACTCATGGGGGATGAGTAAGTGTCTTTATGTAACATAGATTCTTCCTCGTCAATATGCACTCCTTTCATTTGCATATGAATTCCTGATCCACGTGTCCTGGGCCCCCCAAAGCACCTCCTACCCACCCAGTGGGCTCCACAGTGAGCATCCCAGCAAGGCTTTCACCACCCTGCATTGAGAGCTCCCAGAATCATCCAAGCTCTCTGCATCCAGTCCACGGTTCTTGACCTTGAATCAGAGGAACTCTGTGGCTCAGGGCTGATGCTGTGTATGTTCAGAGCTGTGTGGGTTAAGAAAACAGGTTTAGAAGTAGGTGTGCCTTTACTTAAAATGCAGACTCTGTTTCTCCTTGTGGAGGTGGCAGAGCAGATGTCACTCCTGTATTCAGCAATAGCTCCCATCACAGATTAACCACACCCTGGGAAGTATTAAAGATTGATATAATCTTGGCGACATAGCTCCATCTTCATAAGCCTCAGTTTTCTCATCTATAGAATATAGAGAGAAAATATATATTCCTGATAGTGTGTGTTGCTTAGATCAATTTGGCTGAAGTAAGGAGAAACCCTTGTTGAAACTGGCATAAACAACAATTACCTCACAGAAAAAGGAATCTGCCCTGAGGAAGCCCACCAGAGCCCTGGCTGCATTTCTCTCAACTCCCTCGCCTCATCCCCCTCATACTCTAGGCTCCAACCTCAGGCCAGTAGCAGGTGAGCAGGTGCAGGGTTCCACAGAAGCACCACGTGAACAGAGAAAGAAGCAAAGCCCCACCTCCTCTTCCTCCTCCTGCCACTCTGTTCTGGGCTGAGGAAGCACTTCCTGGGCTCCTGGCACGTGTCTCTTTAATCTCCTCCAGACAAAATATGCTATCAAGCTTATTTTTAAAACAGGAAGGGGCCAGAGGCATGGGATGATTGTCAGGCCAATCAAGGCCACCCTGGGCCAGAGCAGGAAGTGACCTTATGAGGCACATGGACGGGGATGTGGGAAACGGAATAGAATTGTAGCTGGGTGGGAAAGAAGGCAGGCATTGCTGATGCTGGGGGGCAGCCTACTATAGAGTGCATGAAGCAGTCCATGGGGACTGTCTGGAAAGTGCTCATCTGGGCTTCATTTACATAAATATTCAACATTAGTGAGATAAAAGAGCAATACAGGAAGCTTCAGCTGCTCTGTAGGAACCAAAGTAGCGTATTCACCTCAGCAACATGGTGTTTGCCAGAAAGCTATACTAGCCCTTTCCCAGTAGTCCCTGATGCAATAAGGGGCCTGTTAGTTGACAGGTAACTGGGGGTAAGATGCCAGGAAGATTTGCAAGCAACCCTGTGTGGTACTCAAGGCCAAAATCATCACGCCTTCAAGGAGGACAGCGCTGTGAAAGCTGCTGGGTCTACTTTAGATTCTTGTCAACATTTGGGATATCAGAGTACCACCTGGATCCTTCATGTTGCTAGATATACTATTAGCTTTCTACCTTCAGGTTCTTGTGAAAATGTCCATCCATGGTCACTGCTACAGGCAGCTTCCCTCACACTGGCTGACCTGGGCCCAGATTCCAGCAAGAGCTCGTGACTCACACTGCCTGTGGCAGTGGTATTTCCTTGTGCCACAGGCTCTAGACCTCTCAGAGCCTTCTCTAAGGCAAATGGAGGGAGACCCGAGAAGAGAGGAGAGTTCGGAGCAGCTGCCTGAGGTGGCTCTGGTTCCTCTAAGTGCAGCCTTCATGACCCATGCCCTGCCCCTTCAGGTCCTTCTGGACAGTGTCACTCAGTTCTTCTCTTTCATTTTGTTTTGCTAATTTTCCTTTGTTCCTACTTACTCTCTGGCCCTGGGGTTGCTGATCCAGTTTAGAATGTTTGTGTTGGCTCTGACTTTGAATTTTTTCAGGAACTTGACTGTCAGTATTTACCTGTCTGCACATTGCGCCACAGTCCCCAGCTGTCAAAGCTGCATTCCCCTGCCCCACCAGCCCACCAACTGACCTTACTTTGCTGGCCTCACCTGATTGCCTCAGGAAGGCAATTGTAAAGATGATTCTAGAATCCAGTCATACCTCCTCCCTCTATCCTGGGAAAGCAGCTGTTCCTTCAGAGATCTGCAGAGATAAGAGGAAAGCAATCTGATAGAGTCAATTTTACCCCATGTGGAATTACTGGTTCCCACAGAAAGCATAAGGTTATATCTTAAATATATTTCTGGTTTTTACAAGTCAGTAAATGAAATAATACTAAGTAAAACATTTAGTACTGGGGGTGTGAGAAGTCTCAAGCTAAAGGAATCTCTCCAGTCGCTCCTCACCTGAGTCTTCATACTGCCTCTGCTCTTACTCAATTTCTTTTTCTTTTCTTTTCTCTTTTTCCTTCTCTTTCTTTCTTTCTTTCTTTCTTTCTTTCTTTCTTTCTTTCTTCCTCTCTCTCCCTCTCTCTCTCTCTCTCTCTCTCTCTGTCTCTCTTTCTCTTTCTCTCTTTCCTTTTTTTCTTGTAATTAGGACAGGGTCTACAGGGCCAACAGGGTCTCACTATGTAGCTCAGACTTATAGTGATTCTCCTGTGTTCAGTCTCCCAAATGCTGGGATTACAGGTATGCACCACCACGCCCAGTCTCAGTCACCCATCTCAGTGCACCCCGGGGGTGGAGCCAGCATGGCAGGGTGGGGATAGCACACCCCCCACCCCCTCACCCCCCCCATCTCTGTGCTCTACCTAAGCAGGTGCTTTAGTATGCTGAGCTAAGCATATTTGTCCTTAGAAAGTACACAAAGGTAGTGTTTCCCAAACTGACAGTGTCTTTCAAAACCACTGACAATTGTAGGCTGGCCCCCTACTGAGTTTCTGAATTGATCCTGTAAATGTTTAAATTTTTTTCAATGATTTCATAGTGAGGATCACAGATATGGGAGAACATAAACATTAAGGTTCTTATGTGAGCTGTATGTTTGGATAGTAAAATACATAATTGCTTTAACCAATGTTGGTTATTTGGTTTCTCTCCTTTAAGCTGTTGCAAAGGGCTGGCTTATGGCACTAGTTGTTTCTGATTCTACCTCAAACATCCACTCTGAATATTATCTTTGTGTTCTCTACTTCACTCAGTATGAAAGTTCAGAACAGACAGCATGAAGTGGAATAAAATTAGAATTAACTTAGGAAAGGGGTCAAAAACAAAAGAGGCAAAGTAGGTTTTAAAGTGGAAAATAATCCATGTTTTATATTATAGGAGGTATTTACCAAGGTTCTTCTTCCTCCTTAGTCCTTGTTATAATGAAAGTAATGAACTACAGATATGTAGATGGTTAACATTCCTTCACTTAAAAATATTCTTCCACTTAATCTGTAATTCAATTTGTATAACTTAGTATTTTCAAATATAGTGAAACTCATCAATTGTGTTTGGCTACACACATGACCCATGGGTAGATCGATCCCTGAGTCAGACATGCATTTGAAATTTTATATGACTTTATGGACTGTAAGGATATAGAATTATTTGCAGTTAACCATTTCTTGTATCTCTCATGAAGCTTTTTTTAAAAAATGTATTTGATTGTTACAGGGTCTCACTATGCAGCTCAGACTCATAGTGATCCTCCTGTTTTTCAGCATCCCCAGCTCTGGGATTCCAGGTATACACCCCTCCACCTGGGATTACAGGTGTGCACCCCTACACCTGGACTCTGTGGCCAGCTCAGCCTGCTCTAGGTGTAGGGCTGACATCGCACGTGGTACTGGGGACTGAACTGCAGTGCTTGCGCTTGCCTAAGCAGGTACTTTAGTCCACTGAGCTATCTCACTGGGCCTGTCATGAGGCTTTTATAGGCAGTCTTCTCTACATCTAACCAACTGAACAGAAACCTTCAAACTTGTCTATACGGTAGTTCTTTCAATGATGCCACATCCATTAGTAGTGAGTATTGAGTCCAGTTATTTTTACAGCTGAAAAATAAGCTTGTATAAACATAAAATTTCTTACACTATATATGAAATCTTTGTAATGTAAATGGATGTGGCAAGGTATGGAAAAACAGCCAAGAAAACAGACCTTCTGGGAGGACTGTTTCATTGTGAGTCCCTAAGAAAGGACACTAGAACATAACTGTACTTTGAAAAATACCCATGAAATAGTGGACCATTTCCTAGGATCTGCCCAACATAGTGGTCCAAAGTGAGGGCTTTATAGAAAGTTACTAACTTCCAATCTTGTTTCAGTTGGATGAGCGTCAAGTTCGAGAAGGAGCACACATGGAAGCAGGACGTTTACTTTTCATCCTAGGGTGATGATAATATCATGGTTACTTCATAATAAATGGGATAGGATGATTTCTGATATATTTTTTCTATGTACCATAGGAATGTCTATTGACATTCAAAATAAAAATGCACATTTGTGCTTAGAAAGTACAGAAAGGTAGTGTTTCCCACACTGACAGTGCCTTTCAAAACCACTGACAATTGTTAGTCACATGGCACAGCCCAATTTGTTTCCTGTTTGCGAAGCGCAGGCTGAGAGAAGCTCATTGACCATGGCATCTAAAATTACTATAAAACCATCCCTATTTATCCTCATGAAAGAGCAAGCTATTCTGATTCTTAGAGAGCCTAAATTAGAGAGCACTTTTCATAAAAGAACTTATGGAAGTCCTTGACTGGGATAGGAGAATCAAATAGAAAGCCTTAAGAATTTTTAAAAACTTAACAAAGATGAGTCACTTGAAACACATTCCTTATTTGTCTGTAAAGGCTACTAATTGTTTGGCTCCCCTGTTTTCTTTTTGAAACAAATGCATTTGCATTAGCCTCTAGACTAAACATGCCTGCTTCTTTGATTATCGCTTGCTGTGTGGTCTGCCTGGAATGTCACCAAGTTACATGTTAAGAGTCCAAGTTAATAAACTCCGATGGCTTTGCCAATATTGTGCTTGTTAGAGTCCAAATTAATAAACTATGTTGGCTATGTTGATAATGTGACAATTACAATTATTGGCTTTAGGGAGGATTTGTCTTTTAACATTCTCAGAAAGAATTTAAGTGGGAGAAAATGATGGAGTCTTTCTCCATGGCCACCAGGGGTCTACCTGCCGCTACAAATGCTTTAGACCTCTCTACTGAAATGTAATTATGGAAAAGCAGTGCATCTACTCCAGCTGGTTAGAAATAGACTCAGAATCCCTACTGCAGACCTACTGATTCAGAACCTACCTTGCAATGCCCCCACTCTCATGACTTCTGACTGCATTAAACTTTGAGACAGACTCCAACAGGTGGCGAAGAGAAAACATTTTACATTCTAAATACAGTCAGCATTAAGATTTAAAAGCTCTTAGGAATTTGCCATCCAGCTCCATGTTCACTCTTCTGCCTTCTGGTTTTTAGTGACAGTTTTACAACTCAAAAATATTTTTCTTCTTAAAAACACCTGCCCTGAAGTGTTTCTTTCAAAGTACATTCTAATCTGATAAATTGCCAAAGCTGCGAATACTTCTTATTTAATTTCTGGCCTACAGATTTGTGGCACTCAAGAGCCACTAAGTTTCTTGTAACACTAGTCTAAATTTTCTCTTTTTACAGGAAGAACATATGGGGAAGGGGTTTTCAGAACACAGTAATCGGAATGAGATTCTTTCACAAATATCAGCCTTATAAGAGCCAGGATGACACGGGGTGTCTCTGAAGCCCTAAGCTGACAACAGGCTGTCCATTTGCAGAAAGAAATGCAGATACTAAGCTGGGTGAACTGTCACTTGAGATGTGCGGACCCCTGGGATTTAGGGGTTTTCTCCCTCCTACTTGCATGTGCCAGGATTCCCGAAGACAGCAAGATTTTGACTTCTTGGGCCCTACTTGCCATCTCTCAATTGTTCATATTTTCGACTTCTAAGTTTATCTATCCATGCCACTGTCTGTACCAATTCACCAGCCCTGTTTTCCCAGAATTAAATGTGTATCCTGTCATTGAGTTTCCAGTTTTCAGTTTTTCACCTTCAGATGTTCATCTGGTTCTTTTTCAAATTGATTCTGAAATGCTGAAAGCATTCTAACATGGGGGTTGCTTTGATTACATTTTTCTATCTAGTGGCAGGAATTCAGAGGTTTTTCCTCAGTAGAAATATAAGAATCAAAAAGAATAAAAAAAAAAAAAAAAAAGAAAGAAATATAAGAATCACATGTTTCAATAGGACTTTGGGCTACAGAATGATTTAGTAATTATACTAATTTATGAACGCCAGCTAGACACAGAAATAAAGGCATGAAATGGAAAACACAGTCTGGGCCAGTAACCTAAAAGTATAGAAAATCTTTAGGTCTTGTAGGACACTCGGACATTTATCATCCATGACTGACTGGGACAGAAATTCAATAAGTAACGTTATACTTAGTGTAAAGCTATTTGACTCATACTTTAAGTCATTAGAAGAATCCTCTTTCTTGAACACTTGCCTCCTTGATTAAGGAAACACCCTTCCCCTCTTCAGGACACACACTCAATGGCAACTAGAGGTTGTATCAGCAGCTTCTCCATGCTTCCAGCATTTCCCTACTCAGTGTTACAGCTTCGCAGACACTTTCTGCCTGAAATGTTACCAACCCTCCCTGAAGGATTTCCTAGAAGGTTTTGCTCCCAGCAACAGAATCAACTCAGTTGACTGAAGCAGAGCAGAAATTTTATTATTCTGTAAAAAAAACAAAAAATGGAGATGGGAGAGCACATGCTCTAAAATTATCTTCTCCCCAATCTGGGATGGTGGGGGTCAGGGAGTTGCACAAAGGGATCCTCCTCTTTTGTGCTCAGTACCCTTCACACACTATTACTTTTCTGCTCAGCATCCTTTTGCACCCCTTCCTCTAACCTAACCAGACCTTCCTGGTTTGTGTTGGATTTGCACTTGATTATTTGGCTTCTGTCCTGCTTACTGTTGCTAGAAGCAATTAGATAGGGTTGAAGTCAAGAAGGAAAATGACCAGAGACTGGTTATGTGCCGCTATTAGAGCCTGCTTTTTGTCAAACTAACATGTTCCATGTACTTTTAAAATAATAATTCTATGTATACAACTTTGTCTTAATTTCAAGGCAATGTTTGTTACATTTTTTCCACTTTCT